CCGGTGGCCTGATCTTCGCCGCGCGTTCGATGGCGCCGCGGGCGATCATCGAGCTCGCGCCTGCTCGCTCGCAGCCCATCTGGCGCCCGATGCTTTGAGTGAGCCGTGGCTGGAGCGGCTGGCTCGTGAACCCCGCCCCCCCCCCCCCCCCACCTTTGCTGCGCTTGCGTTCGCGGCCGCCCCGGCCGCGAATGCCGACGTCGAGGGCGCCCCGCGCCCGCAGCGGGGCGTTCTGCGCTCCAGGCCCCGAGGTCTCAAAATCCATCTCGCCAGAGTAGGAGGAGTCGGCTTGCAGGGGGGGGCGGGCGCGGGGGGGGCGACAGCGACCGCGCCGATTCCATCGCGGCCCGCTGCCCCTTCCCGGGTCTCTCAGGAATCCTCCGGGCCCAGTCGGCCTCGCAGTCGGCGCCGGCGTCGCGCCGCCCGCGAGCGCCAGCCGGCGGGCGGGCCGACCTTGTTGCGCATATTTGGCGCGAGAGACCCGCGCGGGCCTCGCGCTGCGCCCGCGTCGGCCCAGGCCCGCCTCCCGCGCTGACGCGCCTCGCGCGCGGCGCAGGAGCGGGCGCGCCGACCGTTCGGTTCGGTCCTGCGCGCTTCTCATGCGCGAACGCAAAGCCCCCCATGCGCTTTGCGCGCTGGGGGGCGACGGCCGCGCGTTCAATGGGAAACCGCAGCGCAAGTTTCCATTCCCGCGCGCGGGGCGGGGTATGAACTTACAGATGCGCCGACGGTCGAGAACTCGCGCGCGCGCCCGCGCCTGCCATGTTGGGCGCGCGCACTGGGCCCGGAAATCTGCGGCTCGGCCGCCCGATGCGCCCCAAAAATCGCCCCGCCTCCCCCCCCGCCCCCCCCCCCCCCCCTCAAAACTCTTCCGCGCTCTGGAAAAACCATGCCGCCGAGGCGGGAGCTCGGGCCGCGGCCTGATGGTCCCCGGGGCACAGGGGAATCAAGGAATCAGTACGGAATCAGCACAGAATCAAAACAGAATCGGCACAACTGCGACCCCTGATTCTAGCGGAATCAAAAGAATCAGCACGGAATCAATACGGAATCAAAGGAGGAATCGGCGATGGAACCAGAATCGGCCAGAACGGGGAAGTAGGCCAGAATCGGTGCCAGAACCCATGGAGAGAGGCCTTTTTCCCGCGAGTTCATTGCGGCGGGTCCGCGACGCGGGCGCTCCGCGCGACTTCGCTGGTTCAGCGAGGCGCGCAGTCGGCGTTCAGAGTGAACAGGTTGTTTCAGGGCGATATCCTGGCGGCGCGCTGGCGCATTGCGCATTTGCGCATTCCTGGCGGGCTGTTTGAGGGCGACCCGGCAGCGTCGGCCGAATGGCCCGCAAAAACCGCGCGGCCGATCGCGCGCCCCATGCGGTCACGTCGACCGCCGTGTGCCGCGACGGCCGCGCGCCCCAGACCGCGCCATTGCCGCGTTGGATTGGGCGGCGCAGCGCCCGTCCTCCAAAAGTCGTTACACGCATATCGCGCGTGTCGAGCCAGCAGCAATCGCTTTCCAGAAGCAGCCTTGACAGGCGCCCCATGCTTGCACGAATGTGAGCGCGCGGGCAAGTAACGCGCGCGCGCTTGGCGCAGCCTGGGAAATCCAACATGGAGCCCCCCGGGGGCGCGGGGCGCCGGCGACGCTTCCGCCCGCCTCCCGCGCGCCCGACCCCCCCGCAAGCCGACTCTTCCTACGCCAGAGCGCGCGAGACATATGGCGCGATCGTTCGCGGCGCGAGCGAACGCCCACATTGCGAGGTGAAGTTCGGCAGGAGAGATTCTTTGGTCAAACATCTTCGACGTCGCCGTCGCCCATGTCTCTCAGACGGCGATTCGGCGCCCGCTCAGCCCGCGCCCGCGGCGGCCCCGCGCGATCTTCGGCACCCCGGGCAAGCCCGCGCGCCACGCGGCAGCGGGGGCTGGCCCGACACGGAAGGCCAAGGGCGCGAAGATGGAGACGGCCTCGAGCGATTGCGAGGCAGACCGAGAGGAGGCAAAGGCGGCAGCGGGCGGCGGCAGGCGGGGGCGAGGCTTTCGGCCGACGGAGGCGCTGGCCACGTCGACCCCTCAGTTCGACGAGGAGCGTGCGATCCAGAACAAAGCTAAGAACATGGCGCGGGAGGTCTCCGCGGATAACCATTTCATGAAAGCGATGGAGTGGGCGGTCGAGAAGCGCGGCGCGGTGGGCGTGGAAGCTCGAAAAGGCGAAGGGCGAGAACGTGGACTTCCTGGGCAACCCGCGCGGCGGCAAGCCAGTGGCCCTCTTTTCGGGCATGCCGCTCCGCTCGGGCGGCCTGGCGGGAAGAAAGAGAATCGAGAGACGTGATCTTGAAGAAGATCGCAGGGCGCGTGAGGAAGATAGAGTTGGCGGGCGCAGCGCCGTCGGCACCTGCGAACCTCATGGGCCAATTCGCGGTTGCGGGGGGAAAGCATCCGCCCTGCCTCTGCAGATCAAGGCCTCGCGTTGCTTCAAGATAGAGCACGCCCTGATTAGCGACGACGGCGCACAAGAAGTAGAGATGACAAAGTGGACATTCCATTCCCTCGAACCGTGATGTTGAATTTGTTCTCCCAGGCTCAGGAGGCTCAGCTTTTTCGCGGCGCGGGCTCAGACTTGGACTTCGACCGCGGGCCGAGGAGTAGAGCAGCAACGGGTGCATATGCGATTGCTTTCGGTTGCGACTCTGCGAACGGAAGCGGCGTGGGCAGGGGCGGCAAGCAGCGATGGTGAGTGGGGCCCGAGTTCGCCGCAGAGGCGGTGCGTTCGGCCTCTCCCTCGGCAGAACCGCGCGGCCGCAGTGCCGCGCGCTCTGCGGCCGCGCGGCACTGCGCTCCAAGAGGGCCCCAAGAGAGCCCCCAGAGGCTAGAAGCACAAGTTGTGTCGTTTGGTTTGTTTCGGATTCGGGCGTTCGATGTTCTCCTTTTTTTCGGGTGCCCGGCCGCCCCAGATTGCCCAAAGGTTCCCGACATCGCCCCAGGACGGCCCATCGGGCCCTCAGGAGGGCCCCAAAACGGCCAGGGATACCGCCAAGACTACCGAAACAGGCCCCGTCGGGGGCCCCAGGATGCTCCCAGACGCGCCCAAGACGTGCTCAGGAAGATCCCAGGCGAACTCCGAGCCACCCACGATCGGTACGAGACGCCCGAGCATTTTGCGGCGTATTGGTTTTTTCTTGGACCGTCTCGAGGCCGTCTTCAGGCCATATAGGGCCATATTCAGGGCAGCTTCGGCCCTCTCGGAGCCGTCTTGGGCCGATGTGATGGCGACCTGGGCCCTCCTGGAGACCCCTCGGGGCCACCTTTGGCGGAAAATTCGTTGCGTGCCCAAGGGCAGCTTCGATTAGCCTCACCGCACCCATCGCGGCGCATGAGACGAGCATGCGGTAGAGTTGGTGTCGCCAGGCCAAGCACGTGCCGACGGCCCCATGACCGTCGGATACATGCCAAACACTCATCCGGCTCGCTACAGTCGGGACGCTGAAGAAGGAACCCTTCTCGTTTGGGAGGGGCTCAGTGTTCCTTAGCTGTTTTACAGTTCGCCTTAGGTGTTGCTGCGATTTTCGATGGGATATCCAAGTTTAACCCATGAAAAAAGAAAGGCCTTCGTTCCTGATTTAGGGTGCCTTAGGTCAACGCCTCGACTGTATGGAGGCGGTGGTTCGAAGAAGGTTACGGCGGCCAAACGTTTGACTGTTTGTTCTTGTTGGCCTATGTGCTCCTCCAGCGGTTTTGTAACCCCCTTATCGTGAAACACTCAGGGGAGGAAGAGGAAGGAGAAGAAGAATGATAAGAGCACGAATAAGGGGGAGGACGCGGAATCCCATCGGGTCCCTCCTGGGACTCCTGGGGGTTTCCTGGTGGGCCTCCAGGGGGCCTCTGTGGAGCCCCGTGGAGGCCTCTTAGGGCCTCGTGAGCGCCTCTTGGGAGTTGGCCCGTCTGACGCCTTCGTAGCCGAATTGTGTGTGTGTCTCACTGGGCTATGTGGCGCTTCAGAGCCTTCTTGGGGCTATCTTGGAAGCCTTTGGGATCGTCTTGGACCATCAGAAGCCCGAAAGGACTACAACGCGAAAATCTAACATAAACGAATGGACAGTTAGTGCGACCCTCCTCGAGCCCTCTTCGGTATTATCGGGGGCTTCTTGGGCCGTTTTGGCTTCATCTTGGGCTGTCTTGGGGGCATTTCGGGACCATCTTGGTTCCTCTTGTGACCATATTTGGCGTCTTTGAGGCGAACTTGGACCGGCTTGGAGGCCATCTTGACAATCTTGGAGTGTTTTTTTGTTTGGGTGGTTCAGTTGCTTCGGGTGGTGGACCGGCGGGTTGAGCCGAGATCCCATTGGGAACCCTTTGGAAGGGCCCAGGGGTCTAGTCGAAAGTTTGGCACGCCGCGCACCCATCTGCAAGCAGAAGGGGGTGGTGGATCTTGTGGCCCTATTGGGTTAGAGGGCTCCACATGTCACTTCAAGTACTCCCTTTTGGGCTTCTCTGGGGGGCTGTCTTAGGAGCATGCCTGGGCCCTCTAGGGGGCTTTTGGGCCGTATTATAGCGAGTTTGTGGGCCTCTTGCGGAATGTTGAACGCTCCTACAGTCGAAAAGCCAACAATTTCAAATTAATTCCAGCGATTGCAGTTGTGAAGTGATGCTTGCCTCGTGGGATTGCCCTCACAGCCTCCACGATGGACCCAGAGAGCCCCAGCGGACACTTGGGAAGTGCGGACCCCCATCAGCGCATCCAGAGCCTCGGAACAAGTCACGGCCCACGACCCAAGCCTTTGGAATTATATGGCCTGGGGCCTTTAAGAACATTTTTGATATTCAATGCTGTTGACGCTGAGGGACCTGGGACACTCAATCTCGGATCCACGGCACTCTTGCGCATGACGGCGTCGAATATTTAAACGATTCGGGTCGGGCGCGCTCAGGACTCTACCCTTGGGTTGCCGCGGCTGGAATCAGTGTAAACAAACAGGTAGATGGGAGAGGCGGTCGTACGACAGGCAGTCACATCACGCGCCAGGCACTCCCTGCAAAACGGGCGTTGGTTGCTTACTGTTCGGACGTCGGCCACCAGTTGCAACCGACAAACGCGCTGTACCAGTGTTGTTTTTCTGAAGCCATCTAGGTGTTCGGCTCTTTGACACTGTAAAGCCATCAGGGCGGAGCCTAGGAGCTTTGGATAGTGAAAAATACGACTTGCTTTTCAGCTGTCGGCCCTCTTATGACATCTATTGCGGGTTGCTCTGTCTTCACCATTTTGCATCGATGTCTCCCGTCCATTCCGACGCTCAGTCTTGTTTTATGTGTCCGTGGGAATTTGTGCGTGTGCTTGTGTGTGTGTAGAGAGAGAGAGAGAGAGAGAGAGAGAGAGAGAGCGTGATATGTATTCGATGTATCCTTTTTTCCCCCCAATTGGCGCAACATTGTCTATGAACATGGGTCAGCTACCTTTCTGTAACATTAAAGTCAGTGAGATACTCCCTGAATGAACATGTCATGACGCAGTCCTGGGGAGAGCAGTCGAATCCTGCGAGTTGCAATTTTTTTCCGAAGCTCCTGTCGGGCGGAGAATGGCCTCGGCCTCGGGGTCGCCTCGCCGCACGCCACGGCATCATGCAGTACCAGTCGTGCTCCAGCAGTGGGAACCGCCGTCGCGACGGGGCAGGGAGTTCGATAGGTCTCCCAACCGATCACCGGCTCTGCAACGCTGTAACCCGATCGCCTTGTCCATGGATTTTGGCCATGTGGCCTAAAAGTAAAGCACCACCGAGCACCGCATCCTCAACAAAAATCATCACGCGGTCGAACGTTGCAGTGTGCAGCTCCTCCTGGTCTCTGTCTTTGGGTGCGGGTCACAGCATTTAGTACGTGATGTCAGTCCCGCCCATGATGTCGCCAGCAGCCATGAGGAGGTTACGCCGAGCTGTAAGATTCGTGCCGTGCCCATAAGCACAAAACGGGCCCACGACGACAACGAGACAGTTTGGCTCTTACGTGATCTCGTTCTCGCCAGGTTGGGGGGCAATCTTGGCGCCTGCCTCCAAATTGTCCCCGCGGTTGGGCCGCTGTGAAAACCTTCATAGGCAATCGTGGGGCTCTCTAAGGGCCCCTTTGGGGCCCTCTCGAGGCCACCACGGGGGCTCAGAAGCCCAGATGCTACCGCAGAGGCAGGAGCACGGCAAGAAGACGTTCGCGCGCGTTTTTGCTCTAACGATTTTGACACTATTGAATTGGGGAATTTGGGGATGATCATGGGGGGTATCAGGGGCTTCTCATGAGTGTATTGGTGCCTCTTGGAGGGTTCATGGGGACTTTCTTGGAGCATGTTGGGCCACGCGTCTCATTTCCAACCCTCCTTGGTTGGGCATTCGGTTTGAATAGAGCATTGCTCGCGCGTCCTTCCTTCCTCCCGCCTCCCTCTTGTCTTCTCTTGCCTTGTGCGCACCTCTTGTGTGTGTGCATCTTGCCTGCGGTACCTCTTGAATCTTGTGTGTGTGTGTGTGCATCTTGCCTGGGGGGCTGCGATCTGCGAAACTGTAGTCACTTTCCAGGGCTGCTGGGAGGGACAGCATACAGGATAGCCGCCGCAGATCCAAAGTAGACCTCGCCATCCCTGGGGGGGCTGCGATTTGCGAAACTGTCGCCACTTTCGAGGGCTGCTTGGGGGGCCAGCTACAGTGGGTAGCCGCTGCAGATCCAAATTAGTCCTTGCCATCCGGGGGGGGCTGCGATCTGCGAAACCGTCGCCACTTTCGAGGGCTGCTTGGAGGGCCAGCATCTTGGGTAGCCGCGCAGATCCAAAGTAGACCTCGCAATCCGTGGGGGGCTGCGATTTGGGAAACTGTCGCCACTTTCGAGGGCTGCTGGGGGGGCCAGCTATAGTGGGTAGCCGCTGCAGATCCAAAGTCAAAGTAGACCTCGCCATCCGTGGGGGGCTGCGATCTGCGACACCGTCGCCACCTTCGAGGGCTGCTTGGGGGGGCCAGCATAGTGGGTGGCAGTCGCCGCAGATCCAAAGTGGACCTCGCCACCCGTGGGGGGCTGCGATTTGCGAAACTGTCGCCACTTTCGAGGGCTGCTTGGGGGGGCAGCATAGCGATCTGCGAAACTGTCACCACTTTCGAGGGCTGCTGGTGGGTCCAGCGGAGTTAGGCACCGCGCAGATCTGAGCGAGACCTCGCCGTCCCTGGGGGGCTGCGATCTGCGAAACCGTCGCCACTTTCAAGGGCTGCTGGCGGGTCCAGCAGAATGAGGCACCGCGCAGATCTGAGCGGGAACTCGCCGTGGGTCCGAGGCTTCTTGGAGGTTCGTTGGGATCTCGTGGCAAGTTTCGTCGGGGTTTGGCAGGCTTCTTGGGGGCCTCTTGAGGACCTTGGGGAGCCCCTTGGGGCCTCTCGGGGACCTCGGGACTTCCTGGGGGCCTGCTGGGGCGGAAGGCGGCTCGAATCGTCGATTCTTGTTCCCTTCTTGGGCCCCTCTTGAGGCCGTCCTGAAGCCCTCGCGGGGCGTCTTGGGCGCCTCTTGGGCCGTCTCGGGGCCCTCTTTAGACCGTCTTGAAGCCTTCTGGGGGCCTTCTTCGGTTGTGCCGGGGCGCTCGAAAAGGCGAGAACACAAAAAAAACATTGAAAAATACGCAGGTAAGATTGAAACACCCAGGGGAAATCAATGACTTCTCCCTCTTGGAACCCTCTTGAGGGTCCTCTTGGAGCGCTCTCGGGGCCTCTTGGGGGTCTCTTGGTCCGTCTTGGGGCCATCTCGAATGTATAGGAGCTCTCTTGGGCCGACTTGGCGGCCTCGGCGGCGTTGCCGCCTCCACCCCCCTGCCCCCCTTTCCCCGGCCAAGCCGACCCGGCACCCTTCCTCATGCGGCGCGGGAGCGGCCAGTGAATTTGCAGACACCACTCCCCCGCCCCCCTTCCCCGGCAGAGCCACCCTGGAGGCCCCCCCCCAGCAGAGCTAAAGCTCAGATTGTAGCGTCTTTCAACCGCCGAACGCGTTCCACCACTCGCAAAGTGCCTATTCGCAAACGTCCGAAAAACCAACGTTCGCCTCGATGTAATATATCGTACCCCCCCCCGCGGCGGATCCAGGCCATTTGCGAGTAGTGATTTTACGAGAAGCGGAACGAGCTTGCCTATTAAACTCACACGCCGGATCGGCGGATTTCTAAAACGGATTGCACCACATTGACCGCGTCGCGTGCATTGCACGCCAACGCATTGATTACGTAGAACAAAGCACAGATTGCACCACACATTGAGAGGGTATTCGTCCATTGTTTGGGTTCCACGCTGGCAAACATTGACGCATGTTTAACACTGCAGATTATCATAGACTTAGTGCCAATCCTCTACGTGCAAGAGGTGTGTGTGTGTGTGTTGGAGTTCGATGTCCCAGGGAGTTCTGTCACAGAAGAGTCCGCGCAGCTTCAAACGATGCTTGATCGATCGAAGTGGGCATGCACTCGGGTCCAGATTTTTTCTACCGTTTTGATACAGTGGGAACCCATGCCAATAAACACCCTGCTTGCCTTCAGGGTGCCCTGGATGTCCTTGCTTTCGATGGTTTTGCCATGGAAGGCGTGACGCTCCCCCCGCAAAAAAAACAGTGGACGTCCTGGGGGCTCAGGGTTGGGTTTCTTGTGGAAGCTTTCTCGTGGTCGAGCCCCCACTGTAATGACGTCCATGGGGCAGGTATGCACTGCTTCGCTTCGACTGCCCCTCCAGAGCGTGCCGGCGCGGGGGGGGCATGGTGGGCGCTCGCGGCGGCGGGCGCGCCCGCCGGCCTGGGCTATGGCAGACCCGGGAGCCTCTCTGCCGCTGCCAGCGGCAGCTGCAGCGCCCGCGCCCGAGGCGGGATCCCGGCGACCGCTTCTGCGGGTGCCTCCTTCCCTTCGGGTAGGGGATCGACCACAGAATTGCGAAAGGAAGCCCCAGCATGGATTTTCTCGTCGGATCTGCGGAACATGCTGGGGATTCTGGGCATATGTGCGAACATGATACGCAGGCGTCGTAGATTCGATGGGGGCAAATCAATGTTGGGGTAAATCAATTCCGTAGTCGATCCCCTTTTCGATCCCTAGAGGGTGTTGGTGGGGAACGGTTGCGTCAGGCGCAGGGACCATGGTGTCAGCCGTGCCTTGCCGAGAGGTTCCTGGGGGCGCCGCGTCAATCGTGATGGCCTCGATGTGCTGGGTCGTGGCCCAGAAATCGAGGGCGAGGGCGTTTCGTTCGGCGAGCGTGGTTCGAGTGTCTGGCAAGTTGTTGGAGATTATTGTGGGTCGGTGAGGCGGTGTCAAACTTGGGCAGCCTGAGTTTCTGCTCTCAAGCTTGTTCTTAACAGAGCTCGCTCAGTTGAACGCCAATGTTTGAGTGCATCCTTGCTGCGGCGTGTAAAGATATGTATCATGTCGCGAGCGAATTATCGACGTTTCGCGTATCTCCCTATCAGCCCGTCCAGAAACGATGCTCAGGCGAGTTTCCTTGTTCATCACCGCGGGCACTGGCTGAGGTTGAACATGTGGCTCCAACAGGGTGAAAGACGCTCGTGGTGCAAGCCGAGATTTATTATCATCCCGGCGATGACCCATGGCCCCCTTTGGCCACCCACCCACCGATCGCGTCGCGCTCGCGCTTGCACCTTTTTGTGTTGCGTGAAGGATTAGTGCGAAGCCTGCAGACGTATCTTGGTGCGCTCAGGCTTTCGTGGTATTGCGAGGTAGGGGCTACAGTTCAGAGTGCGATGCAGGTTCGCCACAGTGTTGATTCCTGGTCACAGTGGTCACAGGCCGACCGATCATTCCACAAATGCGAGTTGTGGGGTGGAACGCAAAATGCGACGCGCCCTCTCCTCATCCCGACACCTCCGTTCGCCTCCCGCTCCCTCCTTCTCCCACCACGTCTTCTCCATCTTTCTTCGTCCTCTTGCCCCTTGCGCCCGATCGGCGGAATTGCGAGCAAAGGAGCGAGGTGACCAACCATATTGAATTGACTGCCAAGCATAATGAATCCGCCCCCCACTGCAGCCCCGCACTTGAAGTACAGTGGAGACCCATGCCATGAAACACTCTGCTTGCCTCCAGGGTGCCCTGGGTTTCTTGGGTTTTGGTATGGTTTTGCGATGGAAGGTGTGACGTTCCCACACCAAAGAACCAGTGGACGTCCTGGGGTCTCAGGGTTAGGTTTCTTGTGGAAGGTTTCTTGTGGACTGGCCTCCACTGTACCAAACATAATGAATCCGCCCCCCGCTGCAGCCCCGCACTTGAAGTACGCCCTGGCAAGGAGGGCGTGCTTGGGGACAGCCCGCCGGGACCTGCCTGGGACGGCTGCCGCCCACGAAGTGCAGGAAGGAAACGGCCCAAGTGGGTGATGACAGCGTGTCTCACGGCAGCCCCAAAGTTGAAGCACGCCCAGGTGTGGAGGTTCTGCCGGGCCCAGCCCACCCTGACCCCGACCTGGGACGGACGCCGCCCTCGGAGAGCAGAGAGGAACCACGGCCCAGTGAGCACCAGCTGCGGAAGAGAATCAGCCTGACTCGCACGTGTTACGAACCGTCCGTCCCAGTCTGGGTCGACTGGGGTATGATGCCGAGGGCGCCAACTGCAGTAGTTGCAAGCACGCCGCGACAAGGCGCTGGGACGCAACGGGGGAGAAGGAAGGGTAATGGAGGGAGGCAGGAGGAAGGGACGAGGGGGGAGGGAGATGGAGTGGGCAGAGAAGACGTAGGGAGGACGGAGAGAACAGGGAAACTGAAGCGAGGGGGAACGTCGCCAATCTGAGGGCCACAGGGGTTGCGAAAACGAGGTTTCTGCACATGCACATGTCAGCACGCCCGCTCCGTTCCGTCCTGCCTCCCTCTGCCTCCCTCCCCCCCGCTCCCCCTCCTCCGCCTGCTTCCGCCGGGGCGGGCCGCGGTTACACGCGCCCCGCTCTACGACGCGCTCACCTTCCGCCTCCTCCGCCCTCCCGCGAACACAACAGCTTGCGAGCGCCGCAGCGTGCCAGTGAGCATCCGCGGCCGCGGTGCGCGTTGGCGACCACCACCACGGCGAGGGAAGCCGGGCTCTCTGCCGGCACCGCAAGCAGCTCGAGACCACCGCGCGGGTGCGCAGCAGCAGCATGGCGGAAGCCCTCAGACGCTTCTTGCGTCGGCGGTTGGGCAGAGCAGCTGCCCTGTCGGAGGAGCACTGACAACGGGGATGCCGTTCGAGCGAATCGTGCCACGATCCAGGAGAATGAACGGAGACAGGGAGAGCGGCCGAAGGAGGGGGGGAGGGGGCAGGGGCCGCTCAGGGGGGCGGGTCACACCCGGAGCGAGTGATGATGCCATCAAACACAGTTGCAACATCGCAACGTCGTCCAGCATCTGTTGTGAGTTGGCGGGGGCACGGCGGCGGGTGAGGTTCGAACGTTTGAGATCGGAGGTCGGATCCAGCAGTTGATTTCTTAGGGTCGGGGCGTGTTGCCTCGTACCCGTCCACGCTCAAAGTTTGCAGAGGCGGGATTGACAATGCAGATCGTCTTCTCGCGCAATCAGTCGGCGCGCCTGCATCTGCATCAGGAAGTGCGGGGGATGCAGCGGAACACATCGAGGGGAGAGTCGTCAAACGGAATTCGGGATCAGCCTGAGCAGGCCCAGGAGCGAGCCAGGAGATGAGAATGAGGAGGAGGAGGAGGAGTGAGGGTGGGAGGGAGGAGGAACACAGGAGGAGGTGGAGGGCGAACGGAAGCAAGCTCGGTCGGTCGGTCGTGGTGCCGTGGGATGTGCCGTGGGATTGCTGGACAAGTCTGGGGAAGGCAGGAGAAAAGGGGGAGCAGAGGGGGAGGCCGAGGAGGAGGAGGAGGAGCGGTAGCAGCATAAGGGGAATTGTTACGACAAAGATGATGAGGAGGAGCCAGCAGGGGTGGAGTAGAAGGGGCGGGAAGCATGATGCCAGGGCAGAGTGGCTGGATGACCTCTCTCGTTGCTCTCCGTCCCCCTCCGCTTTTCTCGGTCCTCGAGCAGGCTGCGGCCACTCCGAAGCTGGCTGGGTCGCTGGTTGCTGCGCCAGCACCCAGCAGCCACCTCACGAAGAAGATACAGAAGGCACCATCTGGGGGGTTGTCTTCCTCGCTTCCCCCTGACTCGCCCTGTGGCTGCCTCTCTGCCCGACTCCCGCGCCCTGCAACCCTCCTACTCCTGAATACCCCCATGCGAGATGACGTTATTTCGGGGGTGGTCTCGAGTTGTGTTTGTCATGATTTCATCGCTGCTGGTTTTGTTCCCGAGTATTGCTGGTAGATTTTCTGCAAGCAGATGGGGCGCAAGTGCTGGCGAGAGTCACTGAATCATGTGTTTTGTTGAGGCGACCCTCTGCTGCGGCGCACAGTTCCCGCGGGATGGGTTCGCCCGGTCCTCGCACAACACAGGCTATACGAAAACATCTTATGAAGCCGGCTCTGAGTGAGTGAAGGGCATTGCTTGCAGGGCTCTTCCACCATTCGGAGTTATGTTGCTGGGATGCCCATTTCGGGCCCCAGAGTCAATCCAGGAACAGCAAGATCGATTATGAAAGCGCGCCAGTGGATGACCCTGAATACACAAAAGGGGGGGGTGCTCGCAACCCCCCCTCCCCCTCCCCCCTTTCAAAGGGGGGGTGAGATTTTCGACCCCCCCCCTCCCCCCCTTAAGGGGGGGGGGTCCTGACCCCCACCCCCTCCCCCCCTTTGCGCCGAACAGGGGGCTGGGAGTTGTGAAGAGTGAGTAGTGAGAAGAGAAGTGACTAGTGAGTGAAGAATTGTGAGTAGTAAGGAGTGAGTAGTGTGTAGTGAGTAGTGAATAGTGAGTAGTAAGCAGGGAGTAGGGATGCGGGAGTAGACAGTAGCGAGGAGCGAGTAGTGAGTAGTGCGCAGTGAGTAGAGAGTATTGAGTAGTGAGTAGCGAGTAGCGACTAGGGGGTAGCGAATAGGGAGTAGCGAGTAGTGAGTAGCAAGTAGGGCGTTGTGAGTAGGGAGTAGTGACGAGGGAGTAAGTAGTCAGGAGTCAGTAGTGCGTAAGTGAGTAGGGAGTAGTGCGTAGCGAGTAGGCAGTAGCGAGAAGTAAGTAGGGAGTATTGAGTAAGCAGTAAGGAGTAAGGAGTAGTGAGTAGTGAGTACTGGGTAGTGAGAAGCGAGAAGGTGGTATTTAGTAGTGGGTAGTGAGTAGGGAGTAGCGAGTATAACTTAGAACGTAGTGAGTAGTGACTAGCGGCTAGTCATGAGTAGGGAGAAAGTAGTGAGTCGCGACTTGCGACTAGTGATTAGCGAATAGGGCGCAGGGGGTAGGGAGTAGTGAGTAGTGAGAAGTGGGTACTGCATATGTTGTATTGGGTAGCGAGTAGCGGATATTGAGTAGCGAGTTGTGGGCAGTGAGTAGTGCATTGTGAGTATTCTGTAGTAAGTAGTGCATACTGGTAAGTGGGTAGTGAGTATTGCTTAGTGAGTAGTGGGCAGTGAATAGTGTTGAGTCAGTACTGAGTATTGGGTATTGAGTAGTGAGTTGGGAGTAGTGAGTAGGGAATGGGAAGTAGTGAGTAGTGAGTAGTGGGAACGTAGTGAGTATTGAGGAGTGGGTGGTGAATCGTACGAATTGGGTAGCGAGTGAGGTGTAGGGAGTAGCGAATAGTGAGTATTGAGTAGTGAGTAGTGTGTAGGGAGTAGGGGGTAGCAACTAGCGAGTGGTGGATAGTGAGTAATGAGTTGTTGACAGCTACTAGTGAGTGGTGATCGTTTATAGAGTGTATTGAGTAGTGAGCAGGGAGTAGGGAATAGTGAGTAGTGGGTAGTGGGTAGTGAGTCGTGGGTAGTGAATAGTGCGTCGTGAGTAGTGAGTAGTGAGGAGTGAGTAGTGAGTAGCGAGTAGTGACTTGTGGTTAGTGAGTAGTGCGTAATGAGCAGTGAGTACTGTTTGGGGCTAGGGTTTGGGTTTGGGGTCAGGGTTAGGGGTTTTGGTAAGGGTGAGGATTAGTGTCAAGGGTGGTAGGGGTCGGGTTCCGGAGACCGGGGGCGCCGTGGCGAAAGAAAAGCAGGGGGGGGGGTCGCCGGGGGGGGGGTCGAATTTGGCGGCCACAGGGGGGGGAGGGGGGGGGGGTCAGAACCCCTCCCCCCCTTTTGAAAGAGGGGGACCGACGACGGACCGGGAAAGGGGGGGAAGGGGGGGCCCGACGACGGATCGGGAAAGGGGGGGGGGTCCCCGACGACGGATCGGGGAAGGGGGCGGGGTCCCAACCCCCCCCCCCGGGCCGGGGGACATCCAGCGGCGCGCCCTCATCGAGTATCCCCCTGCATGATCTAAGCCTTTCTCATCCCGTTCCCTCCTCCAAATGCAGCTACACTCGGCAAGTCCAGCCTCCGTGACAGCGCAGAACTCTGGGTGGCGACCATTGTAGCACCGGCCAGAAGGTTATATTTTGAAACGAATGTCGCCTTTGGCTTCGACGTAGTCGTAATGTGTGACACGCTCTTCCGTGTCGTGTCGAAGTGTCTCTCCTCGTCTTCGTCGTCGTCTCCCCCTTTTCCTTCATTTCCCTTGCGTTCGCATTGTGCATGTCAGCCGCTTCTCCTCACTTCCTGCTCTCTTTCTCTCTCTCTCTCTCTCTCTCTCTCGCTCGCTCTCTCTCGGGACCCCTTCGAGTTCCCTCTCTCGGGCCCCTCCTGGGGCTCTCTTGAGGGCATCTGGAACCGTCTTGCGCCATTCTCGGGGGCGTCGCGGGCTTTCGGCAGCCCGGAAAAGCGAGAACACTAGACTCGATCAGAAACTTTGTAGAAAAAAAAACCTAATTTGTATGCCTTCAGGTGCTCTTGGGGGTCATTTTGCAGCCATCTTGGAGCAACTTGGGGACCTCGAGCGCTGTTTTTCGACCAGCGTGGGTCCGCCTGAGGTTTCGTTGGCGGGTTGTGGGGCTCCTTTGCGCCGTTGTGGAGCGCACCCTGCGCACAGCGCGCACCCTGTGAGGTCCGCGCGGATTTCCCGGATCGGCGCTGGGCCCCCTTGGCGGGGCCTCCGGCGCCGCCTCTGGGGCGCTCCGCGCGCCAGGGAGGGGGGTCCAGCGCCGATCCGAGAAATCCGCGCGGACCTCCGAGCTTGTTGTGTTTATGCAACTTGTCGTTATTCCTGGCGTCAGTCCATGTTGTTGCTGTTGCTGTTGCTGTTGCTGTTGCGTTTGTTGAACATTATTACTTCTAAAGAATAATTATTGTTGGGACCCCTGGTGCATGGCCCCCCCGCCGCGCCTAGGCCGCAGCCTCATTTTCATCATTTTGGTGAGGAAGTCTCAGGTAAAACGATGTCATCCAGATCCGGTTGTGTTGTTACGATCGGTTTTCCCTTGCAAAAAATAAGCTAAAGTGGACATTTCTTGTTCTAACATATCCAAACTTCAAGAATCCCTTGCAAAAAAAAAGGTAAAGTGGACATTCGCGCGCGCAAGACGAAATCCTTCCAAAACCTTAGTTTTCGTAGCGATTTTAGCATAAAAACATCAAAAAACCAATGGTTTTTCAATCAAAAATTGCCAAAATTTCATCCCGCGCGCTCTTGCGGATTCGTAGGAAACCCAACACTTTTTGAACATTTCTGTCAAACGGGCTTTTGCGAGCAACTTTTTCGAACTTCTGCAACAACAGTTGCGCACGTGCCAGGGCCATCATCCCTGTCAAATAATACCATGCGGGACACATTCGTTTTTTCTTCGCGCGCGCACGCCGTCGTCGTCGGCCGCGGGGCCCTGAATAGTAGCCACGGTCGTCCGCATGCCACGAAGTGAAGTGTCCGAACGTCATAGGGCGGGAAGCTGGGTGTGGGTGGTGGCGAAGAGTCGTTTGGAAATTTGGTAGAGCTTGAACCGCCCCCCCACAAAGTGGGGGTATTGCCCGCCTCCTATGAAAACCCTGGCACTGGTGAGAACGGAGTGTCCCCACGTGCTAGTAATTGTTGTTGAACATTATTTATTCTAAAGAATAATTATTGTTGGGCCCCCTGGTGCGCGCCCCCCCTGCGCCGCCTAGGCCGCAGCTACATTTTCATCATTTTCGTGAGGAAGCCTCAGAAAAGAGGGTGTGTACAGGATCCGGTTGTTTTGTTGTAATCCGCTTTCCCTTGCAAAAAACAATAGAAAATGACATTTCTTGTTCTAATATAATCAAATTTCAAGAATCCCTTGCAAAAAATAAGGTAAAGTGGACATTCGCGCGCGCAAGACGAAATCCTTCCAAAACCTTAGTGTTCGCAGCGATTTTAACATAAAAACATCAAAAAACCAATGGTTTTTCAACAAAAAAATGTCAAAATCTCATCCCGCGCGCTCTTGCGGATTCGTAGGAAACCCAACACTTCGTTGCGGCCCAACGATCGGGACAACCACAACCATCAGGACAACCATCGGGACAACCATCGAGACAACCATCGGGACAACCATATCCTCTCTCTCTTGTGTATTCCCACATCCCTCAGGAATTTGCCTTAAAGATGTGATCAACTATCTTGTGAGTACGTATCATGTGTATCATGTGTATCATGTACCATATGCATCATATGCAACAGATGTTCTGTGGAAGGCTTAACAACTTCTGTGGGTTAACAAGGCTTAACAACTTCTGTGGGTGTACGAACGTAGGCTTAACAACTTCTGTGGGTGTGTACTCCACGCCAGTGTAGTAGCCACGGTCGTCCGCAGGCCACGAAGTGAAGTGTCCGAACGTCATAGGGCGGGAAGCTGGGTGTGGGTGGTGGCGAAGAGTCGTGTGGATATTTGGTAGAGCTTGCACTGCCCCCCCACAAAGTGGGGGTATTGGCTGGCGTCGCATGAAAACCCTGGCACTGGTGAGAACACTGAGCGTTCGGGTAAAGTGATTGTTGTTGTTGTTGTTGAACATTATTTATTCTAAAGAATAATTATTGTTGGGCCCCCTGGTGCGCGCCCCCCCTGCGCCGCCTAGGCCGCAGCTACATTTTCATCATTTTCGTGAGGAAGCCTCAGAAAAGAGGGTGTGTACAGGATCCGGTTGTTTTGTTGTAATCCGCTTTCCCTTGCAAAAAACAATAGAAAATGACATTTCTTGTTCTAATATAATCAAATTTCAAGAATCCCTTGCAAAAAATAAGGTAAAGTGGACATTCGCGCGCGCAAGACGAAATCCTTCCAAAACCTTAGTGTTCGCAGCGATTTTAACATAAAAACATCAAAAAACCAATGGTTTTTCAAAAAAAATGTCAAAATCTCATCCCGCGCGCTCTTGCGGATTCGTAGGAAACCCAACACTTTTTAAACATTTCTGTCAAACGGGCTTTTGCGAGCAACTTTTTCGAACTTCTGCGACAACGGTTGCGCACCTGCCAGGGCCATCATCCCTGTCAAATAATACCATGCGGGACACATTCGTTTTTTCTTCGCGCGCGCACGCCGTCGTCGTCGGCCGCGGGGCCCTGAATAGTAGCCACGGTCGTCCGCATGCCACGAAGTGAAGTGTCCGAACGTCATAGGGCGGGAAGCTGGGTGTGGGTGGTGGCGAAGAGTCGTTTGGAAATTTGGTAGAGCTTGAACCGGCCCCCCCACAAAGTGGGGGTATTGCCCGCCTCCTATGAAAACCCTGGCACTGGTGAGAACGGAGTGTCCCCACGTGCTAGTAATTGTTGTTGTTGTTGTTGTTATTGTTGTTGTTGTAGTTGTTGTTGTTGTTGTTGTGGTTGTTGTTGATGTTGTTGTTGTTGTTGGTGTTGGTGTTGTTGTTGTTGATGATGATGATGTTGATGTTGTTGTTGTTGTTGTTTTTGGTGGTGGTGGTGTAAGTGTTCTTGTTATTGTTGTTGCTATTGTTTTTGTTGTTATTGTTTTTGCTATTGTTATTGATTTCGTTATCGAAATTGGTGTTGTTGTTGTGTTTGTGTTCGTATGTTGTGATTGTGTTTATGTGTGCGCTTGTGTTGATTATGTGTTTGTGTTGTTGTTTTTATGTCAGTCCTTGTTGTTGTTGTTTTTGCGATTACGCCACTGTTGTTTGAGTTCCAGGCGTCAGCCGTGCACCCTCCGTCGTTCCCAGGCCTCCTCGCCGTCTTTGCTTGCAGCTACCCTCGCTCGCCCGAGCCTCGGCGACGTGGAAGCGCGGCACGAGGCGCTCACGCTCCGGGTCGACTCCCAGTCGACGCGAGAGGCGCTGAAGTGCTTGTCTGGCTTCTTCGGCGAGAACACGGCGGGAGGGGCGCAATCCTCCTCCGCCTCCTCCTCCTCTTTCTCCTCCCTCCTCCTCTGAACAATTGTACGCGTGATCTGGCGCCGGAGTGAAGGGCAGGCGCCGGAGCGAAGGGCAGCCGCCCGGCAGCCCGCCGCAGGGGGGCGGCGCGGCCGGCGGCGGTCGAGGGGGGAGCCCCCCCGCGTACCCAGGGATCGAGGTTCTTCCTCCTCCTCCTCCTCCTCCGCCTCCACGTGGGCCCGAAGAGGCCCTCTAAGGGATTCGCGACAAGCCCTGGAAGGGCCCTCCTGGGCCTTCCACGGCGGCGGAGCTCGCCGCAGGCCTGCGCCACGGCGAGAACACGGCCTGAGGGGCGCAAGTCCGGGGAACGAGCAATGACACACATAAACATACAGATTCGGAGGTCTGCGCGGGTTTCTCGGATCGGCGCTGGGCCCCCCTGGCGGCGCCTCGGGCGCCGCCCATGGCGCGCTCCGCACGCCAGGGAGGAGGTTCCAGCGCTGATCCGATAAATCCGCGCGGACATCCGAGTTGTGATGTTTATGTCATTGTTCGCCCCCCCACATACGGGGATCCAGGTTTCATGGGTTTCATGGTCAAATTTAGTTGTCTGGGTTCCAGAGGTCTCTGCAGCCCTCGCGGGATCTCAGGCTGGTGTGTTGGCATGCGTCCACATCGGCCACGCGAAGAAGCCACGGTGCGCAGTCATGATGACGTGTGTTGACGATGGAGGAACGACTCAGGAGGGGCGCAATGTCTGCTTGTGATTCACAGAAGACACCCTTTTTTCCGATGGTTGATGGATAGACCTCGCGGGGCGCGCATTTGTTTCAATCACGAGCGCCGTGGGATGGCGCGCGACCTCGCCATGGATGAGAGCAAACTACCCGCCGCTTCCGAGGTGGATCAGCCTTGCACAGCGCAGCGCAGTACAGGTGAGCGCTGTGTGTGCGCACCCGTGCCCTGCCCCAGGGGCAGTGCATGTAAGTCTGTGTGTCCAGCAGTGTGCGCTGCCCGCTGCGTTGGAGTTTCGAGCGTGCGCTGCTGGAGGCTCGAGGAGTCGTGGGCTTGTCTGTCGTTGTCGGTAGATCCTTGTCCTCTCCTCTCTATATCTATGCCCCCTGTCTGTGTTTTTCAACGCTCCTCCCGAGGGTATGAACCAATGTGTATAGTTTACTCCGTGGAGCGTCGTGTTGTCTCTACCTCCTCTCGCGCCTGTTCGCCCGAGGTTTACCTCCGAGGGTGTTGGAAGCTCCCTCCTGCTACTGCTCCTCTTCCTCCTCCTCCTCCTCCTCCTCCTCCTCCTCCTCCTCCTCCTCCTCCTCCTCCTCCTCCTCCTCCTCCTCCTCCTCCTCCTCCCCCCCATCCCTACATCCAGCGTGATGGATCATGGGATCTGCGGGGCCTCCTGGGAATTCCGTAGGCCCCTTGGGACTTCCCGGGGCCTCCTCGAATCTCCTTTGGCCTCCTGGTGCCTCCTGCGACCTCCTGGGACTTCCTGCGGTCTCCTGGGGCCTGCTGTGCTCCCTGGTGCTTCACTGCGTGACGTAGGCCCTCTTGGGACCTCCTGGGTGTCCAGGGTGCTCCCAGGGCCTTCTGGGATCTCCTGAGGCGCCCTGAGACCTCGCGGAGCCGCCTGGGGCCTCCTAGGACGTCTGGGACCTCCCAGGTCCTCCTGCGGTTTCCTGCGGCCTCCCGGGATCTGACGCCTCCCGGCGCCGCCTCGGCCTTCTGTGGCGTCCTGGTGCTTCCTGAGGCCTCCAGGAGGCTCCTGGGATCTCCGGTGGCATCCTGGGAGCGCCTGGGGTCGCCTGGTGCCTCCTGGGGCTTTCTGGGGCCTCCCAGCGCTCCTGTCCCAGGAGGTCCTGCCAGGACATCCAGCGGCGCCCCGAGAATCCGCTCCAGGGTGCGGTCCCCCGCGTTGCCATGCGATTGGGCTTCCCCTGACCGCTCCGGGTGTCCTTCTAAGAAGCCCAGCGCGGGGCCTCAAAAGTGACGACAGTTTCAAAGGATGGGAGCCTTCCCGTTGAGAAATGGCGCAAAGCCGCGCCTCCCACGGTACGGTGCGATTTGCCCTCCCCGCTTGTTGGGCTGGCTGGCTGAATGAATGGGTTGGGGTTGGCTGGGTGGCAGGGTGACGGGGTGGTTGGTTGGGCTGGGCGGCTGATTAGAGGGTTGGCTGTGTGGCGGGGTGGCCGGTTGGGTTGGTTGGCTGTTTGGATGGGTTAGGTTGGTAGGTTGAGTTGGCTAGGACAATTGGTTTCGACATATTAACACATAGAATTATGTATAATGTATGTAGGTGCGTGTGTGTCTATATCTATATGAACAACCACGCGTGTTGCTCTGAACGTTTGTGCACGGCCCTGCCAGACTTCCTTTTTGACGTGACGGTTGACCCTCTAATCGCGTGCCAGACTACTCGCGGCCGCCGACGACGGGAGCACGTTCTCCCTTTATACGCCTGCATTGAAACGATTACTTGTCATTGGATGTCACACTATGGATCGCATACTTCAGCGGCGGTGATTCGGCGTCTCTTCCTCTCTGTTCCCTTGCTTCGCCCGGGGGGGGCGCGCCTGGCAGCAGTGGCCGCGGAAGCTTTTCCCTCCCGCCTCCTCCCTCCTCGTTTGTTGCCGTTTTTGGCCGCCCCCGCACCCCACTGTAGCGGAGCTGCTTGCGTCGCCTCTGTCGGTTTCCTTCTGGCGGCCGTGTGTCGGCCGCAAGAAGGAAACCTACAGAGACGACGATACTGATTCAAGAGCCCTATGCCATGTCGCCGACCTCCGCAGGAGGACATGTGCGGGTTCCGATGTCGTATGTGTCGTTTCCTGCTATCCGTCGCGCTCCTTGAGTATAGTTGTTGCTGGTTTATCCGGGCTCCCAGGTTTCCTATTCCTCCGTTTGGAGCTCTCTTGGCCTTCTTGGGACTCTCTTGGAAGCCGTTCTGGCTGTCTTGGGGGCCCCCTGGGCAGTCTTGAAGACCCTCGTGGGCCACCTCTGGGCCCTCTTGAGGGCCTCTCTGGCCATCTTGGGCCGCGGTCGGGAGCTTCTCGGGTCGGTTCGGGTTTTCAGTATTTCAAAATCGTGAGAATTCGAAGATCATCCAACAACTTATGGCAAGTCAATTTCATCAGGTCACTTATGGGTCATCTTGGGGCCCTCTGTTGTGGGTGTCTTCCAGATTTCTGGAGCCGTCCTGAGACCATCTAGGATGGTTTGGTGGCCTCTCTGGCGCGTTTGCGCCCGTCTTGAACCATGTTAGAGAGCATCCTGAAGGCCGCGGAGGGTGGATTTGGAGTCACCGAGAGCTCGGGAGGTATGCTTGTGAGCTGGTCGACCCTCCCCTCCCTCCCCTCCCCCCCATACCACACCACTGGATTTTGGATCCCCATGTGAGGGGGGGGGAGAGAGGATGCAGCCAAACGTCCCACACGCCTCTTCACCCTCGGTGAGCGGCCGAGATGTTTTTCAGCATTGCCCCTCCGCCCCCCCGTCTGACGTCTTCGTCGTTCGCCGCCGTCTTGGTCGTCCGCCGCCGCCGCAAGGGTCGGGCTCCAGGGCGAGGGCGGGTGCGGCGTGTCGCCGTCGCCGTCGTCATCCGCTCCCGGCCGCGGTATTGGAGGAGGGGGAGGAGGAGGAGGAGGAGGAGGAGGAGGAGGAGGGTCGTCCGCTCCCGTTCTCCATCCTAGTCGTCACCGAGGTGTCTAGATCGTCATCGTCGGGATCAGTTTCCAGGGCCACGACACTGCATCTGACTCGTTACCCCCTTTGTGTTAAACGACATCCTTCCGGCAGTGGTATTGGATGGAGGAAGAGCGGTTCGCCATCCTTGTCGTCATTGAGGTGTTTAGATCGTGATCGTCAGGATCAGTTTCCAGCGCCAAGACACTGCATCTGACTCGTACCCACTTTGTGCTAAACGACGTCCTACCGTACGCATGTGATCCTTGTTGTTCAGAGCGCGAATTACCTCCCCCGCTTTCGCTTCCAGGCAAAACCAAGCCATACCACGCGCCTCCTCGTCAAGCGGCCTGACCAGTACAGGCTGCAATTTGGCATCGTTTGGTATCTCTTGGAAGCGAGGGTGGTCAAAAGCGAGGTAGGTTTGTTTTCCCCCTAGTTGTGTTCGGTGTGGTCGGATTACATGTGGGACTGCATCACGTCCCAGCCTTTGCTTGGAGTGTGCAGCAGTTTTGTTTATAGTTAAGGCTATCCAGCTGTCCTGCAGAGCATGTCCAGATCCGCGCTCTTGAGGTGTGAGCTGAGGGAGGCCTTGCAAGGCCAGTTTCGCGCGACTGCTACCATCGAGCGAGCGTGCTTGCGGTCAGGAGGTGCTGTAGGGAAGCGGTTTGGCCAAGCACCGTTGCTTGCGTTACAGGTGCACTCGCGGAGGAATTTGAGATCTTCGATTGAAGGGCAGAACTTGTTGCTGCATCAGGAGCTTGTCTAGCCGCTTTCTTGTCTTAATAGAAGTACAGCGTTGCCAAGTGAAAGTATGGTTTTGAATTTGGTGGTCGCTGGTGGGTGCCAACGTTTTCGGGATGGTCCAGATGGTTTGATCTAGTTCTGAAGTTGAGCGTCTTCTCAAGTTCACCCTCCAGCAAATAGGACCAGCTGGAAAGATTTGAGACTACGAGGTCGGCACCCGCTCGAATAATTCACAGTATCCATATTCACGTATCACTGATCAGCGCATGTGTTGGGCACTCTTTCCTGGATAAGTTGTCCGCGTGTTCGGGAGGGGATTCGGTGTGTTTTCATCGCGCGATTTACGCTGATAGGTATGGTCAATGCGTGCCGGAGTCCAGGGAAGACAGCTTCTGTATAGCGAAGGTAGATTACATTCATCTTGTGTAGCCGAAGGGAAGCTACATTTTCCGCGAGGGCGAGACCTGAACGTTAGCAGGTTGGAGCGCGTACATGTGAGCTCCTGCAAACCAGAAAGACATGCATGGAACACAAATCAGCGCCACGAGTGTTCTTAAATTTGCCCAAGGAGAGCCCCAAAAGGGGCAAATGTCTGAAGGGTTGGGCCCTGTGCCGCTCGCCCCCCAGGCTTAGCCTTAAGTCGGGCCTGTCCCTGTACAGGAGGAAAATTCAAAAATAGTGAAAAAAATAGTCTGGGGACGATTGTTCTACTATTTGCGAATAGTTGTCTTATATGTGTTCAGGTATTTTCATTTTTCGCGCAAAATCCGCCTGCAGGGGGACATGCCCGACCTAAGCTTACCATGTTGTGGCTAGTTGGTTTGGGAGCCTCTCGTGGGCAGTGTGGGGCCATCTTCGGACCATCTTGGGCAATCTCGGGGCTATCTCCCTCCCGGTATGGTGATTCAGGCCCCCCTCGCATACATCAAAAAGCACATGATTGGAGATGCACCAGTCGAATCCAACAGACAGCACAGAGAACACACCACACAGCAGTCCAGCAGAAAACCTCACAGCCTTGCGCCCTCAAGAGGGCCAGAGGATAACGCGAAGCGCACTTAGCCCCGAAGAGTCGCGCGATGGATGTCGCATGCTGAACCGGGGGAGTAACCTTGCCCATATGTATATTTGTATGCATATGAATACATATATATAAATATGTATGCATGTATGTATGTTATGTATGTATATATACACAAGATTGCAATGGCGCTTCGCACCATGAACCTTGGTCCTTGAAGTTTGGCATGCAGGCGGAATAGCAGGAAGGTCAAGCCGACAATTTAGCGATAACTCCTTGTTGCCTTTTCCGGCATCGCCGCTATAATAATGTTATTCGTTATCCTTCCTCCATGTTCGCCCGTTTGTTTTTCATTTTCGCCATACCCTGCGCATTCTCCCCATCCTCCTCAGCTCGTTTTTGCGGAGGCTCCTCCTTGGAGAGCCCTTGGGGGCCTCACAAAAGTTGTTTCAGGCTTTCTTAAGGCCTTCTGGAGACCTCCTGGGCGTATTCTGGGGGCCTCTGGGGGCTTCCTCGGGCCACCCTGCCTCCAACCGCGGTCTTTCTGAACGACCCGGTCACGATTTGGAATGCTTCGGAGGGTGTCTTGGGGCCGTCTTGGGCCGCCACTGAGGGACATCTTGGACCCGTGTTGTGCTGTTTTGGGGCTCTCTTGGACTGCCTGGAAGCCCTTTCGGATGGTTGTGGGGCGATTTGGGAGCTTCCCAGGCGGCTTCGGACGCCCAGGAGACCGCCGTCTTGGAGCGTGGGGAAGCCGAACAGAGGAGATCCCCAAAATTTCCCCAAAACCAACGGAAAATCAATGATTTTTGCCTCTTGGGGCCTTCTTGGGAGTGCTCTGGGAGGCCTCTTTTGGGCTGTCCTGGAGGCCTCTTGGGCCATCTTGAGGTCACGTCGGTCACTCTTGGAGCGCTCTTGTGCTGTCTTAGGGGTCTCTGGGACGTCTCCGATGACCCCCTGATCGCCCTAGTTGTGCTGGGCAGGCTTGGCAAAACGCCCTGCGAGGCCCGGGGGGCCGCTTCGAGGCCCGTCCAGAGGGTCCCAAAGCCCCAGATCGGGGGAGTGCAGTTTTGGAGGGGGGGGTGAGGGGTTTCCCCCCCGCCCGGGCTTGTAAAAATATAGGAAGAGGAAGCTCTCTCTCTCTCTCTCTCTCATTCTCTCAATCTCTCTCCTTTTTTTTGTTGTTCTCTCTCTCTCTCTCTCTCTCTTTCTCTTTTTATATATATATATATATATATGATGGCCGTTGGCCCATCCCGCCACCGTGCCTGGGTTGTGGGTCTGACGCTTCTTGGATGTACGTTGGGATCTCGTCGGGTCCTATCGGGTGAAGGCATCCTGGGGGGCTGTTTCGGTGCCTCTTGGGGCCTCTTTGGGGCCTTGTGGGGGCCTCTCGGGAGCCTCTTGTAATGCTTCTTGGGGGCCTCTTGGGGCCTCCTGGGCGACTCTTTGGTCGGAAGGTTCGGATTTTCGGCTTGGGCCTTGCGGCCCTCTTGAGCCATCTTGGGCGCCTCTTGGGCCGTCTTGGGGCCATCTGAGGCCGTCTTGGGGGCCTTTGAGTCCGTGTTGGGGCGCTCTTGGGGGCCTCTCGGGAGGTCTTGGAGCATCGAAAATCAATGATTTTGCCTCTCGGTGCTCTCTTGGGAAGGCTCTTGGGGCTCTCTTGGGGCGTCTCGAACGAACGCTTCTTCGGCCGTTTTGGTATCATTTCTGGCGTCTTGGGAAGCTTTGGGGCCGTCTCGGAGGCCTCTCGGACCGTCCTGGACCCTTCTCAGTGTTGTCTTGGCCCGCTTGGGAGCCTGGGTGGGGGCGCCGTCCTGGAGGCTTGCGCGGAACATCCTGAGAGCGCCCGGCAGCGCCCAAGAGCGCCCGGGAATTTCGTGGTTGGGGCCCGCAAGAGCTTTACAACTTTGTCAGAACTGCAGGACCTCAGCCTTGGGGCACTCCACCACGTGCTGAAGGCACGGTGGCGGAAACACACGCATTCTGATGCACACCTCTCCGAGGGAGTAGAGCTCAGAGGCGGTTAATCGAAGCCGTCCAGTCAGTTCGCTTTGTTTCTGGCCGTTTCGCTCGGGACATCCTCAACCATGTGAACATCGGACGCACACCTCACGCAGATCGCGACGTCACGTTCCAACAGCACAGCCTTCTCCAATATTTGTTAAATGAAATCGTCAAAGCACAATGGATCTCAATGTTTTTGGACACGGTCCTTAGAACAGTTTATTTTCGCTTCAGACATTCTCTCAAACTCGAGCCCATTTGAGCACTTCATCCAGCTGCCTCCGGTAATTCCGCAACCGTGCCAGCGCAGCATTCTGAGTGGCAACTATTCGAGAAGGCAAGAGGTCCTGCTGGGGGCCTCTTGGAGCAGAAGGCTCGAATTCGTGGTTCGTGTTCTCACTCTTGGGCCCTCCTGGGGGCCCTCTTGGGCAGTCTTGGGCGCCTCTTGGGCCGCCTTGAGGCCCTCTTGGGCCGTCTTGGAGCTCTCTTGGCGGCCTCTTGATCTGAACCGGGGGAGTCTTGGAGGCCTCTCGGGCCGTCTGGGAGCGTCGAACGCTCGAGAAGGCGAGAACCCACACAACATTGAAACTGCTATGGGAAATCAGGTGTGGCCTCTCGGTGCCCTCTGGGGGGCCTCGTGGGATACCCTTTCTGCCCTCTTGGGGCCTCCTGAGCCTTCTTGGGGCGGAAGGTTCGAATGGTCGGTTCGTGTTCGCCGTCTTGGGCATTTTGCGAGGCCGTCTTGAGGCCCTCTTGGGCATTCTAAGGCGTTTCTGGGGCCTGGCATTCTCGCTTGAGACATTCTCTCGAAATGGAGCCTTCGAATCTCTAACACAAAAAATCCGTTTCGCCTGCTTCCTGCCAGAATCGAGCCATGTTTGAACACGATTCTCAAACCAAATGCAGTTTCGCTTGAGACATCCTCCAAACACCGAGCCCCGACACAGAACACGCGAAGCACGCACACAAGCACTACATGCACACATCACACAACACGCCACACACAACACAGACCACACAGACCACCCACAAAACACCTACAACACACCTGACACACGCACACACAGCGCACACACAACACAACACACACAGAGCACTCTCAACGCATGCAGCACACAGCGTGCACACAGCACACCTAACACATACACGATACACATCTAACACACCTGACACATAGCACATACCACGCACACATAACCAACACATAACTCACGCAGAACACAGACACACAAGACACGCCACACGCGCACGCCACACACAACACACAGAACACAACTGTTTGCATGAGCCGCGGCACGCGCGTGCCACTTGCAGATGCACCAAGAGAGTACGGGAGGTACAGGAGGGGAATGGCTCGATGCTGGAAGCGCGCTCAGATTCGAAGAGTCGCGCGGTGGACGCTTTACATGAACCCAGAGGAAAAGTTTGTATATCAATTGTTGGAGAGGTCCAGGAGGGGAACAGGCCAGTGTAGATAGTTGGTCGGGACGTGCTGGTTGATGGGAAGCGTGCCAGAGTCGAAGAGTCGCGCATGCGAGCCGTTTTGATTGCCACCGCAGGCCATCAGTCGTTTTTCTGTTTGCAGGAAGGACGTGACAAAAAATAATCAGAGCGGACGCTTGGGATTGGCTGGAGTCCGAGTGGGGAGGGGGGCAGCCACGCCCAGGAACATATTATCAGGTGCGTATGCTGAATGTGATTGGCCAAGCAAGTGTTTCGCCAGAGGCATCCTCAACAATGTTTGATGTGTGATGTTGGAGGGGGTGTTATCCGACATCGCTTATAACACATGAGGCTCACGTTGCAGACACCCTCAGAAAACATTACATGATCATAGTACCTGCATAATTCCCCATATCTCACAAAAGGGGCTCTCGTTGCAGACATTATCCGAACATGAAGACGTTGAGCTAGTTATCGTTCTACGTATGGTGTGACACTGTTCTCGCATAGTCTCCAAGACGGCTCAAGAGGTAGCAACATTATGC